GCGTTCTGGATCAGTTTCAGGGTATTGGTAATAACCTTTAAAGCCTTACATGGCCTGGGACCAACATATCTGAGGGACCGCCTCTTCCCATATATGCCCCGAAGAACACTACACTCTGTGGATCAACACCTCCTGGTAGCCCCTGGCCCGAAAGACGTCTGTCTTGACTCAATCAGGACCAGGGCCTTTTCCGCCCTGGCCCCTGCCTGGTGGAACATGCTAACCCCATTGAGATCAGGGCCCTGTGGGATCCTCTTCAATTCCACAGGGCCTGCAAGATGGAGCTGATCCGCCAGGCTTTTGACTGAAGCAGTGGGCACCCATATATGGCCTCCCTGAGGTTTCTGTCATTCTGTCATCTATTTAGCAACTGCTGGCCATTATTTGTATTTCACCATGAGCCAGGAACCTCCTACAACCAAAAAAATTACTTTGTCATCAGCTTGTGACCACCATTTTAATATTTATGACGATGTTTTAAATTTTAATTCTTACTGTATTAATCAAATATATTTTGTACACATGAAATGCTGTTATCTGCCCTGAGCCTGCTTGTGGGAAGGGCGGGCTATAAATATGAATAAATAAATAAATTAAAAATATTCTCACACAGCCCACTTGAGTTCTAGCCCCCCCCCAATTCTTGCTGCATGACTTTTCTACTCATCAGGCAGTTGTTTAACCAGACAGATCAGTCACAAATCATATAAATCATTCATAAATGCTTTGGTTTAATAAAATCCTACTCCTTGGTGTTCATCTAAATAGTTCCTAGTAACAGTAATGGCCAATGACCTGTTTGAATCAGCAGTATTTTCGCAGATGGGCAATTTTGCTAAAAATGGATGCACACCTATTTGGCAGGCATTAATGGATACTCAGCAGAAAAACTAAACAGACTGGGTGCTCAGCTCACACCTCACTGATACCTGAATCTACCTCTGAACAGGGTAAGCTTGACTGTCGAACATGTTCACGGTAAAATTTGCAGAATCGCTAGCTGCAACGGAGTTGTTTATTTACGTACTTTATTTGTAGTCCACCTTTCTTGCTGCGACTCAAGACAAATTACAAACAGTACTATCAGACAGGATAAAATAATCAATGAGCAAAGCAATAGGACTAGGATTACAGAATTAGGGAACAATGCAAACAACAAACTATTGATGGCATGTAAACTATAGAAAGTGGATTAGTCCCACTGAACTCAGTGATAACATTCTCACACAATGCCTTTGTAAACCTAAGATGTACTTGAACCTGAGAAAGAACTTCTAAAAATACCACAGCAGTGGCTTCATACACCAGCTAAACTGCATAACATTGTTTTGTTGGATATATTGGGGGGGGGGGGACTGGATCCTATACATTCTGCTAACAGTGTTCCATGAGCAGAACAGAGTTACAGTATCCAATCCATTAGTTTTAGTGATATTGTTGCTATGGGCTAGATCCTTTGCCCCTTATGTCACTGGCATAAGAAGCTTTCTAGTGGTGTAGACACTTCATGGAGGCAAGCAACACGAGGGGTGGTTTCAACTGCTCCTTCCTCCTTAAGGTAAGTGTCATTATGACATGAACTGAAATTCACAGGTGGCAGCTAATTGAATGGGAAGGTGGGAAATTTCCACCTCTGCCAGTGTCTTCCACTGGCATCATGTAGCCCCTAGCTTTATAAGTTATCCTGAATACCTTAAAACATTAGGGCAATGTGCAAATAAAGACATTGCGCATGATTGTCCAGTCACAATCTACACTGTGGAATATAGGATAATGGGTTCAAAAGTTCATGTATATTTGGTGGTCTTTAAAAATAATATTTATTTATTGAGACTTCTGGTTTGTGGCTCGGCGATGGCGGAGGCTCTCCCCTAATGCTGGGGAGGCATTCCGCGCTCCAGTGGGGATTGGAGGGGTGCCACCTCAAGTGGCACCCCCAGGTGAGCCTTGGATTAAGGCTCCGAGCCGGGGGCGCTTGGGAGGGTGTCCTCTTCGATGGCAAACTGCCGGAGAATTGAGGCGCTCCCTTTGCCCCAATCGGTCCGCCCCCTGAGAGGCTCGGTTTTCACCGAGCTCAGCCGATGCCGGCCGGGACAAGCAGATGAGGGTTATCGAATTACACAAAGCTAAATGGTGT